AAAGGTACCCCTCAAAGCGAGTTAACATGACATGACAGCAAAAAGAGGGTGTGATTGGATGAGAACACCAGACAGTTGCTGGTGTCGACATGGTCGCAGAGATTGATTCCAGCTGATTCTCTTCTGGGAGCAATTCAATTTTTTCCCCTGCCTACGTTTTTTTGGCGGTTCTTTTATTATCATAGTTCGGTACAGCGGTGGACGGGGTTAACAGAGGTGGGTTCCACTATGGTGCAACAGCCTTCACAGCACAGCAGCGTACTTGCTCGAGGAGAAAGCGATGAAATTTTTAGCTAACTGCGTAACGTATTTTCGAGAGATGGTCAACAGAAATTCTTTGGAAATTCAGGCCGCAATCTGTTCGTTATACACAATATTATAATAATTGATCGAGTCGTGAGCTACTAGTTTATCGCAACTGTTTATTTACAAATACGATGGCTTTCGAAGAAAAATGTCTCAGTACCGTAATAAACGAAATGATGGACACACCAAGAAACAGTCCAAGTTGCCCACCAATCTGTGAGATGAAGCCCGGATAAGAAAGCATAGCGATTTCCTCGTACTCCTCATACTGAAAATAAGCTTCTGACGTAAACGTGTGGTTGTCACGTCAAAGCACTCACACTGAGGTCGCCATAAAATACGTCGAGGCGGAATGCGCCGAGAATCTTTTCCACAGATGACCAGTACTGAAAGCCTCGATCCCATCGATCACAATTTGGTTCGCACTAAAATGTGTTCAAGGTTTTTTAGTCTTATCACATCACTAGGCAATGCATGGACTACTACTCTTCTTCTTCCTAGCGTTAGTCGCTACTTGTTTCGATCCACTGCATCTTCTGCACTTACTTCAGTGAGGTCCTTCTTGATGACGTCCCTCCATCTTTTCTTTGGGGCTCCTCGTGGTCGCTTGCCCTCTACTTCGAATTCCAATGCCTCCTGTCAATGGGGTATCCCTTATTGGCCCGTTTCACGCCTTCCTAAGGCCCATACCATCGCCAGTCGCTGCTCTCGTGCCTTAGCTGGAACGGCAGCCGCTGTTGCTGACCGCCCTAACGTCTTCGTTTCTGAGCTTGCTCGAGCACCGCCGCGTTGTACAGGCATAGCCAGTGGACTCCTCCATTTTCATCCAGGCCTGGCGGTTGATTCGGGTCTTCACCGCCAGGTCCACGCTGCCGTAAGCTGGTAGATCGCTCCCCAGGTACTGAAAGCCGTCGACCCTTTCGATGCTCTCGCCATGGCGGTCTACGATGGGTTCGGTCTTTGTGCACTCTCCCGCGAGCTTGGTCTTTTTTCAGTTTAGCCGGAGCCAAACTCTCAGCCGGAGCACATCCTGCCACCGCTGCCACCTTCGTCCTGCCGAGCTTCTTCCCTGTTGCATGCATAGACTACCACGAAGAATATTTCTGGAATGACAGCTTGGATTCACTGCCTCTAAAACAGGGCACACTTTTTATAGAATTTACAGCTCATTTTGACATGTGTCTTTGACGGCTTCTCTTCGCCCCTTACCTTCCCAGCAATTCCTTACATCCTTTTACACTGACATTCACATTCCGCTGACTGTCAGTCAAAAGCAAGACCATGTCAGCCCGTTTCAAGAGCGATCCATTCTCCACGCAAGCGCATGCAGCGTTACTACTCATCTTCCGCATGCAGTTAGCATAGCCACATTCATCATCTTGCATAACCCAATTTTCTCTGCATAAGTTCGGAGCATCCTTTGGCCGTTGACTCTATTGCTGTTGATTTGCGAACGCCTATCGCTCACTTGAAGCACGAACCTGTACAGCTCACCTTCGCGATTCCTAGTCCATTGCCGTTTTGGGGAGCAATGGTCGTCCGCAGCCTGCAGTTAGCGTGCACATTTTTAGCTCGAACCGTGCATCGCCACGGGCTGAATGTCCAGTGATGCCCGGATGGCACTCCATTACCCGCTCCGCACGGTCGTTATGCGGAGACGGCCACCTGGGTACCTACACCTGCAGCCCCGCATGGCCATGGCACTTTGAGCAGACCAAGGGGCAGGCTACTGCGAACTGATTTTCGCACATGACACGCACAGTCCTCGGAGGTAAGTGTGCAGTTTGTCTTCAATGCGTTCGGCAGATATCTGGTTCAAGCTTCTGCAGTAACTTTCGTTCCGCTCTCATGCTACTTGTTCTTCATTGATTTGCTGAAGCAACTTGAGCAGCTACTGCGTCACAAAGCTAACCTTTACAAGTATTAAGTACACCTGTGGCTAGCTCTGCTAAATCTGTTTGCTGTCTTGAACGGAATTTGTTGCCACTTAACATTTGACCTGCGGAGTCCACCTACAGTTGGTATCATCGCGGTCAATCAGCTCACAACTGAGGAGGGACAGACTGAAACCACCACCGGCGTACACATCACTGGTTGTTCTGCCTAAATCGATCATCAGGCGATCACCATTGGTACAGCAGGACAGCAGGAGGCGTGCTGATACTGCCCTCCTCAAGGCGACTCCGCTGATTGCAATGTCATAAGGTACTCATTGCCATCAGGTGTCTGCCGCAAATTTTGAAGGTATGGCGTACTGCCAAATCTACCGAGACGGTACTCCGAGTACACCCAGCAAATATTCAGACAGCTCTGGAATTGAACGGGATGGTGTAGGGCCAGATCGTCTAACACGAGCGTAGTCATCCCAGGCCTGCTCTTGCCCGGACTAAAGAAGCATTCTAATATACCGAGGCGGCACACGGAAGTCAGATTTGTCTGTGAGGATAAGGCATAAACTTGTACATCAGATGGCCCCAGGAATCTTCTTGGGGCCACATCGCACTCGAGAAGCCGTTGCCATGTCACCGATATACTTTTATGGCGTAAAAATTATGTTGTGCGAAATTTTTTTGAGTTTCGTTGACATTTCGCTTACCCTATTCCGAAGAGTGTTTGCAGTGATGATCTGACGGTAGTTTTTGACGACAACGTGTGCATTGCAAACTTCGTAGCCTTTCGCAGATCGTAAGTCTGTCATTGACGGAAGAGTACAATTGAGTGGACGTAGGAGATTCTCCTCTAGCCATCGATTAACATAGCACGTGGCGCGACCTGTAGTTCGATTTTGTACAATGTATAGGGAACAAATATACCTGAAGTTTTGAAAACAGCGATAATGGTATTTTGGATACATTGACGTAAAAAGGGCTGTAAAGACAACCTCAACGACTGGGGTGATGGCCTACTAAGCAATGAAGACAGAGGAGAGCCGGAAAAACAATGCACATCGGTAACAAAATTGAAGAAAAAAAGCAAAAAGCTAGAAAATTCTGAAAGCTTATCTGTCTTTCCCGGGGTGAATTTCATCAACTTTCCCTTCAAAGGGTGAGCCCGCGATCACCGTTGGTGGATAATATGTAGAGCTCAAATATGAATTACAACTTAGTAAATGATCATTCCATTCTCACAAGATTTGTACAGCCATGCTCACCATTGTCTCTTTTTCAAGTCCGCGCTCTTCCCCTCTATTGCCCTGGAAAGCAGCTTCCCACCAGCGAGAAGGTACATGCATTCGCTTTATCCGCCCACGGGATCAGCATGGCTTGCACATTGAATTTGTGGTGACATTTTCTGGCATCTGACGTTTCAGTTGACAGAGTCGCAGTACGGTGAGGTGGTGTCAGACGGCGCGAAGTGAACTTAGGCTGCGGCACTGACCGCCTTAGCAGCGTCTCGAAGGCCGGGGAAGTAAAGGTTTTGATCTAGCGACCAGCAGCGTCTACCAGCGTCCACCAGCGACCAGCACTTCAGAAGTGGAGAGTATGAAGCGATAGGAAGGTAGCAGACACCGCTACCCTGCTTTCCACCACAGGTGGTTTTCTTCTTGAACTGCTCGGTAGAAAATGTAGCTGCGTGTGAGATACCTAGCTGCTATCTCTAGAAGGGTAAAATTAGTTTACCATTTCAGACACTCGAGATGATTATTCTGCTAATTACTAGATGGAAGTACCTGATACTTCTCAGGCAAAGATCACCTGCACATAGGTATGAACATCATAAAAAGCACATAGGTTAAGCCTACACGGGCATTCTACCCATGCCCCTTCTAAACATACTTCAACGAGCACACCTAGAAATGGAGTTGTTCACTCACCTTTGCGATATTTATCTGTTGAGCAGACGTCCCTTCTCGGCATCATTTTCACCTTCCTCAGCTGAACATTTGCGAGCACAAGTTCGTCTTTAGTAACATATATTCGAGGAAAGATTGCAATTTCCGGCCATTCGTCGCCGAAGTATATGACGTATTGGCGCTGTAGGAAGAATTGAAGTTGACACTCGCAGGGCAGGGCCTTACTGTTTTTTGAGACTTGCTTGCATTCACACCGATTTGGGTGGAATTGAACATTATCGGAGCACATATAAATCCTAACCTGCTGTGTGCCGTCAATGAGAAGACTGTTGGGTTTCTTGAAATTCATTTGTAACGCGCTCGACTGGCCACCGGACGTTTGGTAGTAGTTGTCCAAGCGCATACATCTGGAATACTCAGCAGTATGATCACGAAGACCGACCAGTCCAGACACTGTGCTGAAGACCGTTCCCACAGGACATCTACAAGTATTTCGGTTCAAATCAAATGCATCAAAGGCACGGTCCGCGATCAACTAGGGCTAGAACTTTATGCGTACAAAGGTGGCCTAGATGTTGTACCCTAGGAAAACCTGAAAATTGGCAGGCAACGCGCAGAAAGCCTAAGCTAAGCCAGTGGGCGCCCAAGACCTATCTAAGTTGCCCATGTCGTGATGTCTTATCACAACAACTGTCCTTATAACTGCGAACAAACTCATCGAACTCGACGTCTCTCCCTTCCCCTACTGATGAGCAGAGAAGGAGTGCTCTGCTCTTGCTCGGCTTCCGTGAAAAACCGCGTGCGAAACTAAAGCCGAAGTACCTCTTACCTCTTGACAGCATCAATATTTCCTAACATAGTCGATAAATTCTTATTTTCAGTGGCTTTTTTCTATTCCAAAGGAACGGTCCGCCATGGTCCACAATGAACAACATTGTCCCGGTTCGCGGCGAAGAGCTGTAAGGTAAAGGAGTAGGGCGAGAAATTGCTGAAGTGATACCTCTCTTCTCTCGTGACTCCGCCTCCCGGCTCCGCCTTCAAAGTCTGCCTTGCAGTCAAAGGCGATGCTACCGGACATATACATAGCATCATTTGGATCCTCTCTCATGGGGTCATAGGGCTCTTCACGAGGAATGAGACGTCTGAACTCGTCCTGACACTCGGCCATTTGGCCTTTTACCGGTAAAACTATTTGAGGCTTTGGGCCCCTGTTGGAAGTGCGGCCCACGTTCCCTTGGCATTTTCTCTCCGTGGGTGAGTCACTTCACCAGTTCGCTTAAATATTTCAGAGCCACTACCAACGCTCCTTATCGCGGACCATGCCTTTAGACTAACAACTAGCGCTGATACTCCTTCCAGCCGCAAGGGTGCAAAGAGCTGATTTACCTCCCACGAAGCATTACATAGTGAGGTCTGAAGTGATCACAGCATTTCGTCATGACACAATCGGAGAAGACCTGAATAAAAGAAGCTAATGGACTTGCTAATGGACGCCAGAAGCATTCTGCTCACATCTTCACACCGCAGCCCGTTCTCATCGAACACAAAATGAAACATCTCCTCCATTGATCGACCACCGACCCATTGATCAAACAGCGGCTGTATTATGGATATTCGGGTAGGTGACCAAGTTTCGACCAATGTATTTATAAAACCACAAGAAGCTATGTAGTAGAGAAGAATATCCCTTTTCAATTCGAACGCCAAAGGACCGACCCTTTGCTCGATATCTGAAAATAGTGATACGTGCGGAGGTTAGCAATGAACGCTCTATAAGTGAAACGGGTGGGAGTGGGATGGCCCGCGCTGTCAGTCTTGATTTCTGTTCGTTCGACTCAGGATGTGCGGAAAGGGGGGGGGGTGGTGAATCGGCTAGCTCGCTAGTGCCTTTTGGTGGTTCCCATAGCAAACAGTTTTGGTGAGATCTAGGTAGTTTTGTAAACCTCTGAAATGGTACAAGTTAGCCTTATTGCGTACAA